TTCTAAGAAAACCCCATTATCTTCCCAAACTACCCTTAAATACACCTCAAACTAAAAAATAAAAATAAATAAATAAAAAAGATTTTCTATTTAAACCCCACAATTTTCTTTGTTTTTAGCAAAAAAAACACAAACAAATAGAACCCTAAACCTAAAATTTAATACTTTCTAGAGAAAGAGAACAACTTTACCTCTCTCCAAAACACTTTGGTATTGTTGAGTTGATAATAAACAAGCCTTTCCATCAACTCCCACGCATATTTAAAGAGGTAGACTCGTCAATTTTCTATGTCTTTAAAAGAGAAGAGTAATCTGGCAATAGGATGTAGAGAAGTTTGTATTTTTCTAAAACTTGATATGAAGAGTGGTGGGGTGTGTGTATGAATGTACTAGGGTTAATTATTAAGTTGGATGACCTTTTTGTCTTTTTACACAATAATAAAACTTACAGCTTAATGATTTAAGTATTGGGGTGAACAAAGAGAAGTGCGGGATTTAAATAGAAAATCTCTTTACAAACCCCACAAAGTCAATAGGGGCTTTTTAGAATTATGGATCAAAACCACCACCACGAAGGAAGCAAAAAAGGGATTGAAATTCCTTTTATTTTATTTTAAAAATACACAAATTTCATATGATGTGGCCTCCTGTGAACCTTTGGATTGGTTTTGATGGCTTAAATTTATTTTTAAATTTTTATAAAAAGAAGAATTTGAAGTTGGGTGATCATAATTTAGTTCTGCCTCTTTTGGGTTTTTAATTATTTTTAGTAAAAATATTATACAGAGGACTGAAAACGACAAACATTTGAAAAACTAATGTTACAGGAGCTTCTCCGAAGAAGAGAAACTCCTCCAAAAATGGGCGTATGCCACTATGAGCGGCGAGCACACGGTATTCTTTAGTAAAAGGCGAAAGAATAGTTCGCTCTGTGCTCACCGCGTGGCTGCGTGATTTCAAATGCAGCATCTCTTCCATTTTTATATCCGGTCTCTATCCGGCCTGGTTTTGTTCTTTTCCGATGTGGGACTTACTGAAAACAGAAAACTATTACTCGAGTTTCTGATTGTTTTTCTTCTTCTTATATTTACATCATAAAGGATCCAATATTTCAGTGCCTGACGACAAGTGCATTTGACACAGAAAAGTTATAAAGTAGTTGGTAGGATAGATTTCTACTGCCACATGCATATCACGCAAACATGGTGATTATAGCTTTGTGTGTGCCTCATATGCATGTTTCAAGTCAATATCTTAATTAGTTGACCCTTTTGTTTAAAATAGGTAGTCTCATCAAACTTGTGATTAATCACAAACTAAAGCACTGGTCATCTGCTTTTACACAAAGGCAGAATAATCTAAACTACCAATTATTTATGCTTTTTTACTTAGATTTAATCTAAGTTGAACCAAATAATTCACCCAATTTGAACCAAGACTAGGGTCTCCAGGAGCCAAGCATGTGAGTATGGAAGACTAATTTTTATGTCATATTTTCATGTCAATGCCATTTCATCAGCCTCATGCTTTTCTTGCCTCCACACTTGTCATACTTTAAACCAGTACCTTTCCTCTTCTCATCTCACATCTCTCTCAGTAAGCATCTGCATAAGCAGAGTTAATTGGAGTTGAATCAGTTTCATCTCTCTTTATAATCAGAGACTAGTTTTGTTTATCATTTCCTTTTTGTTTTTAGGATTTTAAGTGCAATATTGGATTAACACAGATAAGATGGTGAGGCCTGCTTGTTGTGAAAAGCTGCATTTGAAAAGGGGTCTTTGGACTGAAGAAGAAGATGCAAAGATACTCGCGCATGGGTTGAAGCATGGAACTGGTAACTGGACCGCTTTTCCAAAAAAAGCAGGTTAACTTTGGTGTTCTTTTTCCTCAATTCTTTCTTGACCGGGTGGCCGGAGGATGTTGGTGGATTATATGCTACATTTCTGGGCTAATTAATTAACTTAATGTATGAGTGTTTACAGGACTTACAAGATGTGGGAAGAGTTGCAGGCTTAGGTGGACTAATTACCTGAGGCCTAATCTTAAGCACGAGTCCTTCACACCCCATGAGGAGGAATTGATTGTCAGGCTTCATGCAACCATAGGCAGCAGGTTTGGTTTTTTTATATGCAGACTTCTAGCTATTTACAATAGTTCATCCAAAGCCTCCTTCCTTGCCTATCTTTACTGCTAATGCATCATATCACTCTTGTTTTTACTATTTAACATTGCAGCTACATTGTCCTTGTTATCCTTCTTGTACAAACACTTCATTTGATCATAGGTCTTCTGCTGCTGTTTTCCATTAACTGCATACTTTAGGGGGAGGAATTTGGGAAGAAAAATTCTCACTAATCTTTACTTTATGGTATCCGATCTGATCTGCATTGTCGTTGTTTCCAGTTCATAGTTTTTCTGATTTAACCTTTGGAGAGAGAGCCTGTGAATTTTGAACAAACTATTAATTGTCAAGAAATTGTACTCAGGATAAAAAGCTAAAAGGTAGGGGCTCTTTTAGCTCCTAATTGTAGCAAGTGTGCTTATAGTCACAATACCTGAGTGACCCAACAACCTTCACTGATATGACAAAATGAGAAATTCACTTCATATCCAAAAGTCAACCCAACAGATCATATGGATTGCCAAGCAAGAAGACAAGCCCCAATCCCCAAGTCTCATTTTCTGTTGCTAATGCAAGAAACCTGATCCTCTCTCACTATTTTTTATCATGGATTCTGTGGTGCAGGTGGCCTATAATAGCTCAGCAACTTCCTGGGAGGACAGACAATGATGTAAAGAACTACTGGAACACTAAGCTGAAAAAGAAGCTCTCAGGAATGGGAATTGATCATGTTACTCATAAGCCCTTCTCTCAAATCTTAGCGGACTACGGAAACATCGGTGGCCTCCCGAAAGCTGGAATGAGAATGGCAATAGGTTCTCTCAACAAAGACTTGAAGAATGCAATCCTGATGAAGCCAGAATTACCATATTCATTGTCAACACAAGGATTTTTCACTATCAATAGCCATTTGATGCCAATGACAATGATACCAATCAAAATGGAACCAATTCAAGACGGTTTCTTGAGCAACGCTCAATCTAGCAACCAACCCTTTGATCTTCTTACACAGCTGCAGGCCATAAGATTGGTGACAGAGGCCTCAAACTCAACCAACCTTGAATCTTCCCCTCCCAATTTGTACATTCATGAAGGCACATTGTCATCATCACCATCATCTTCTACTTGTTCATCTGCTGCGCAAGAGCAGGCAACCCAGGAGGCCTTTAGCTGGAGCGATTTTCTCCTTGAAGACGCGTTTTTTCCAACCGTTAATGCTCAAGAACACGAGAATAAGGCTGAGCATTTGTCGATGGACATGTTGAACCAATCGAAAGCAGCAATATCGCAAAGCCAAATTGAAGACCAAGCTGGTGTGCAAACCTATAATGAAGTTGAGGCTACATCTCCATGTGACAGTTCATTTGTGGAGGCCATGGTCGCTAGAGAGAATGAGATGTTCTTGGAGTTTCCCCAACTTATGGAAGAACCATTCTACTACTGAGTTTACATTTTACTCCAGAATTTATGCCACTGTTTGCAATAAGATTTTCTATATAATTAAGCTGTGAGAATAAGAACCTGATCACAGGCCTCTCCTCTTGTTGGCACTTTATGCCTTGCGTTGTATAATGCAGCTGAACTTAGTGACTTTCTTAGCATCAAAGCCAAAATAGTGGTATTTTAATAACAAAAAAGCCACACAAAAAAACAAAAAACAAAATCTATCAGAGCCTGGTTTCGATCCAGGGACCTGTGGGTTATGGGCCCACCACGCTTCCGCTGCGCCACTCTGATTTGTTGAGATTATTTTAATTCGAAATATAATTAACTAATAAAATGAAATATTTTTATTTACCCAGCACTGTCCACGCTTTAATTAATTTTTTAAAACATTTTTCTATTGGATTTTAAACATCTAAAATAAAATAAAATAAAAGACATCCGTAGAATTGTTTTACCCGCGTTTGCTTTATTATATAAACCCCTTATTAAATATAGTTAATCTTAATAATACCCACTTAAACACTTTCCTTCTTCTTCTTCTTATAAAAAATTCAACAACATAAAATCAAAAGCAGAAAAGCAGAGATTGAAGCAAAATAGAAGCTACAAAAATGGTGGCAATTTCGTTGTACAGAGGAAACCTTCACAGAGTCCCAGACGTACCTCGTCGATGGCTTATGCCAAACCCTAAAATTTCTCTCAAGGACTTCAAATCCCTTTTAACCCGTCGCTCTATAGCTCTCTCTCGCGTCCGCTCCACCCTCCCCGCCACCTCCTCTAACCCTAACCCTAACCCTTCTTTTGTTCCAGAACAGCTCAATGAAGCACCAAAGGTGAACGCTTTGACACACCCCAAGATTAAATTCGAAGCACCGGAGAATGTTGTTGCGGATTGCGAAGCTGGGCCTTCTGGGGTCGACAAGGATGAGAAACAATCGGACGGTGCTGATTTTACGCTGAAACCCGTTGATGGGTCCGATGCATCTCCTGCTTTTAAACCCGATTTGCCTGAGAAAGGTTCCGATGCTGTGGATGTCGGTGCAAATTCACTAGCTGTGAAGGTTGAGAAAGTGGATGAAGTGGAAAACCCCAATTCTTCGGTATGCAAGAATTGCCAGTTTTATGAATTAGTAGAATTTTGTTTTCGAATTGGGTATTTATGAGTTTATGTTGTTCTTACACTGAAGTATGAAATTTGGATTTGAAGTATCAATGTGTGAAAAAAGAAACAAGAGTTAGTTCCAGCTGTGATTCCTAATGCTTACCAAATCAAAACAACTAAAATCTATATACGCATTGAGAAAGCAAGTCCAAGCATTCATTTGATTTGTTGAACTATGATTACAAAATCAAGTGTTTTTTATTGCGCAGTTTTGAGCAATGTTAAGTAACTACTATTGTTTGTTTATATGATAGGCACGTAACAAAGAGGATGTGCTAGATGAGAAGCAAAAAAGGAAAAGAGAAGTTGAGGAGAAGCTGCAAGTTTTGAATCAAAGGAAACATACTATAGTACAAGTTTTGAAGCAGGTAATTTTTTGGCCTCGTGATTCATTTGTGTGTATCTTTATGTTACATTGGGAAGGATCAATACTAAGGAGTTGGTTCGTGGTGTTTTACAGATGTTAAATGCCGAGGAGGAATTAAAGAGACGAAGTAGTATGCAAGGAATGGTGGTTCGCCCATCTGTATCACTTCAAGTGGATGTAACAAATGACTCCGGGTCAATGACTAGGCATGCTGCTGCTAGGTTGGGCTCAGAGGCGAATCTTGAGATGGAAGGGTGTGAAGGTGATGAGCATTCAAATCATAACTTTCATTCTCGCCATATCTTCCGGATGAACAGCACATCCCCATCTTCAGAGTCTCCTCTCAGAAGGCCAACTCATGTTCAGCACAATGTGGTAATGTATTTTGGTTCCTACTGCAATTGCTATGGTACCAGTGAAGTGTCTGTGCATGTTCCGATTTTGCTTTCATTTGTGTTGACTGCCATGTTGATGGTTTTATATTTGTCTTGTGAAAGCTTATAAACTAAGGATCTTTAGAATTATAAGTTAAGTCTGGGACTTGTAAAAGTAGTTTTCTTAAGAAACAAAGAGATTCTTAAAAATATGAGGAAGTACTTTGCAATTCATGTCTCTTTGCTTTGCTATCTATTCATGAACTCATTTTCAGGTATCAAATGTTTGTGCAGGTTCCACACCCCTCTCGGGCAAGTTTGGGGGCTACTGGCAGCAGTCCATCACGCTTTGCACCTGTAGGACACCAGGGGAATCCTGCAACTCTTCCCACATTATCTGTATCAGGAACAAACTACATGGCATCCTCTCCATCCCCTGCAGCGTCCGGCGGCACTTCTGCTTTTAGAGATGCCCGGCTGCCAAGTCCATGGAATTAGATTTGCGTTATGCACTCCCTTTGTTTACCATGGGACTATAGGTTGATCGTGGGGATGGAATGAAGAACATTAGACAACTATGAAGCCATCCATTGCATTCACGTAGGGGATTCAAAATTCTGGTGACTTAAAGGATCAGAAGCCTATCTCAATTGGGTTCCTTTCATTTTTCGATCATAGTATCTTTGTAAATTAATGAAGCTTGTCAAATTGTAACAACAACAAAAAGGGTTGTCAAATTGAGCTGTATTGAAGGCGTATGCCAACTGATAATTTTGCTGAACTTTTGTTACACTGATTCTCAAGGTTATCAAGTTCATATTCCTATCAATTCAATCAAGGATCAATCAAAGCCTTCACATGAATTCTATTATTGAGTCTAGGGGGATCTAACTTTATTAGAAAAATCCAATAATTGGCTGTTCCATTAACACGCTCTCAAAAGCACCAAAAGTCATGTGACAACTATAAACAAGTGAGATTTGTAGGGTACAAATCCAAATTCTTGCCCTACGCTAAAATTGTAAGACAGTATCACCCAAATGTTGCCCTAGGCTACACACTAAAGCTAGGATCATTTAGATAGTTGCAGTCAACGGTCAAAACATCACAAGCCTCCCTTGTCCTCCGCCAACGGCGCACGTTAGAACAAAAAAAACAGAACCAGATCTCACCACACAAGTCCCAATCCAAGGAACCCCACCACTCACCACTGACCACACTCCAAAAACATATCAACACAACATAACCTCCTCCACCTCCAACTCCATTTCCATTTCTTTTCCTCTGATTTATCCACCCAGCACCAAACACCCAAAAAAAAAAAACCAGTATGGCTAACCACACCACCCAACGGCGCATTTTAGCAGCACCAGAACCAAAAGCATCCATGGATCCCACCCTCAAAAAACAGACCAAGCCCTCCATTTCTCAACACCTATCTAATAACCTAGATTCTTCCATGCCCTCTAAACCCTCTTCCATTTCCAGCAACAGCTCTAGAGTCAATACAAGTCATAGAGTTCGTACTTCACAAAGACCCAACAGTCAACAAACACTCCCAGCTCTCACTGACACTCGTTTGCAAGCCAAAGCCATGTCAGTTTCTGCCATAATGGGTTCCTCCAAGTCTTCCATTAAATTAAATCCTCAGCCCAAATCAGTTGGTCCCAATATTGAGAAACAGAGCAAGACAACAAAGGAATTAGCTTGCAAAGACAAGTCCCAAAAATCCAGTAAAGATGTGGAAAAGAAGAAATTTGAGGAGGTGGTAGTGAAGAAGAAGAAAGAAGCTCAAAAGGGATTGGTGGGTTTTAAAGAAGAGCATGAATTTGATAATAGGAGATTGTCAGTTTCATTGAACTCAAGCGGTGGCAGAAGGAGATCCCTCTCTGGCTCACAGGTTCAATTGGCAGATGTGCTTGCAAGTTATGGTGTGAAAATTGTCTCAGCTGATATGCCACCATTTATGCAGATCCATGCCGTTGAGTGTGCAAGAAAGACACATGATAGCCTGGAAAAGTTTACCTCCAAGACTCTTGCTTTGACTCTCAAAAAGGTATTGACAGTTGTTATTATGAGCTTAATTATCCAGATTAGGACTTTAAACTTTGATTTAGTTGAGATTACTGGTGATTATGTGATGTGGGTTTTATGAGTTTATGACTAATTGGTGAATGGTTTGTGGGGTTGTGCAATTTTTGTGCAGGAATTTGATGGGGTATATGGGCCAGCTTGGCACTGTATTGTAGGAACCAGTTTTGGGTCTTTTGTGACACACTCTGTAAGTGGGTTTCTGTATTTCTCGATGGATCAAAAAATGTACATCCTCTTGTTTAAGACAACGGTACAAAGAGCAGACTGAACAGTTGGAAAGCTCAAGAATTTTTAGCGTAGGAAGTTCTGGAAAGCGCAAAAATAAGTTATTTTCTTTCCAGCTTGTACATTGGTTAATGGTTATTGCAGGGAAAGCATAGGAGAGATGGAAATTTCTCCCCATCTTTTTGTTCATAGACATTTACTTAGTTGTAACTTGTAGGGGCTTAGTATTTGTCTAATTGAGAAATATGAAATCCCTTCTTCTGGTCCTGTAAGTCTATATGTATCAGTGTTATAAAATCATAATATAATTGTCACAATGTTCTTTTTGGTTGCTTTTCTGTGTTTTTCTTTTGGTTCTTTTCTGTTTTTGGGTTAATCTTTATTGATTGCTCTGCAGCCTAAGTTTGGCTTCTTGCATCAGTGGTCATAGGAGAATGATAGGATCACCTGCATTTGAGTTTCACACCAGATAAAAATGAATTTTCTCATGAGCTTAGGAGTTGATATATTTCATGGACCTCATGCTCCATGGTTGTTGCTTTGGTTTCACCATCTAATCTAATGTGAGATGATTTGGCATTTGATCTGTTCTTCAGATTCAGTGCATTATAACTTGCACCACCTGCCTATTAGTAAACTTGCATTCTGCATTCAATCCATCAAATGATAGCATCCAAAAAGGTCATAAAATATGTCCTGTTTCCAAACTTGTATTGTATCTTTATATTATTGGTAGTTTGGTCAGAGACTCGGAGGCCCCTACAGGCTACACTCACAAACCCTTTAGACAGTTCTAGGCCCCTCCCCCAAATCAATCATTTAACTTGCTTGTAAATTGGGGCCTTCTGTTCCATCATTAAGAACAGAGGCATACAACGCTGATGTTGCAGCCTGTAGATAGGTAGGGTCGGAAAGGCAACAACGATGGGGTATGGGTGAGGGGTTCAATTCAACCATTAAACTTCAACATTTTCCTCACCCATACCCCCTCATTGTAGTTAAAAAAAAATTGTATGAAACGAAGATAGCATTGTAGCAGCACTTGAACCATTTTGGGAGACCATTTGTCAATTTGTGCATCTAACACAATGGGGCTTTGACTAAAACTTGGGTCCTAGCCCAAAATTCATATCTGATGGCACTAACTGAGTTTGCCTCCATTGAGATGAAATTTGATCTTGATGTGGGCACATAAATTGAATAAGGGTTGAAGACCCTGCAAAATTCAAAGTCTTCCTATTTGCATAAAATTTCCATTTTTGATTGCACTGAGATGAAAAACGATATTTCCGCAGACTAAACCCATCAGTTATTGGTTAAATGAAGAAGCAACAATGATTGAGCAAAATAAATTGTGTGCATACACAAGCATTATTCTGGTAGATTTTACGGCCATCACATGCAAAATGCAGAGCTTGTTTGACTGCGTTGATAAAGTAGCCACGTATATCGCAAATGTACCAGATAATAATAAGTTCTAACAGTTCATGTACAGGTGGCAGAAATAGTTGACCTGGTAATTTCCCAAGTGAACAGGAAGTTCCTAAACAGAAAAGAAAGTTGGCATGATGGTGGTACTGTTTTCTTCTTTATTTAAGTTTATCTTTCCCCTTCCAAATTAAAAAGCAACTTAAATTTCAAGCAATACCAAACAAACACAAAATCATACGCATTCGAAAGATAGTATTGATAAAAATTCATATAATTAAGGTTTTAGATTGAAGTTCTATGTTAATCGAATAACATAAAACTCACATGGTACTCGTGTATGTGAGTTTTCCCCCTTCCCCTCTCCTAACTTCGGCAGAAAAAAAAAATATATATATATATATATAACTCACAGTCCATATTCTACTATGCAAAGAGCCAAGTTTGTTGCTTCATGAAAATTTGAAGCCTTGAAGAGGTAGAGGTCTCAACTAATTATATGAGCTTGACTCCCTAGCATTCCTGTAATTCAGGGATAATTACCATTTGACAAGAGAAAAAAAAGTATTTGTAAAAGAGAGGAAGAAGGCAAAAATATCAAGTACTTTTGGAGTACCACCTTTCTGTACCATACTATTACTATGGTAAAAAATAATTTACTAATTTTATTGTCAAAAATTGACCTAATGTCTCATTTGGCTTAAATTTTGAATGGATGCAAATGACCTGTAATAGTCCTTTAATGACTAACCCAATAATGATTGTTTAAGCTAAGGTTCTTTTTTCTTTTCTTTTCTACCAAACATCAAATTAAAACTGTTTTTTCCCAGCATTTATTTCAATTTTTCGGCTCCATCTGCAACAATACATGCCATGACACAAACCCTTGATGCAAAAAAATTGAAAACTTAGCAAGAGATGCATAGAAATCGCTTTTGATGTCAGGCAGGTGCAAATATATGAAGTGGACATGATAAAGAAATGGGGTCATTAACTCTATTTCCAAATCCATGATAATGAGGCACGTTTTGATATCCAGATTAGGAATAGGAGGCTCCAAGAGGGAGTTAGTCTCTCTCAAAAACCCATCAATGACATAATGGCAAGTCAACTTTTGCTTTGCATTGGGCAAGATTCTAAGATAGAGGGCACATGATGAGGTTGGCAAAAACTATCTTGGGCATAATCTCAAACACACTTTCTCTAGTGTAACTATATTTGCTTAGCTGAGTATCATTTTTCTGCTAAGCAAGTTAGGCAGTGACAAATAAGAAAGGGGGGTTAGGCAGTGATGGTGCTCTAAGCTATTTTAGCTATGAAGAAAAGGCAAAAAAGAAAAAAGCTTTCTCCACAACATAAAATTCTTTGAAATTAATTTGGAGGGTTTGTATTGTTCACTATAGCAACCCACCAAGCCATGTTTCCACCCAAATTTTTATCTCTGGACAGAATAAGATGCCAATTGAAAATTCTCTTACATGAACAGTAACTTTAAGAAAATGGATGTGGCATGAACTATTCCATATTAATTTTTTTGCCCACTTGCTAGCTAGGCACTATTCTAAATAGGGTAATTTTTATTTACACGGAATTTGACATGTTAAGTCATTAGGGCCGTTAACTAATTACATCTGTAATGTAAATGGTTAATAGAAGGAAAATCGAACACAAAATTTCATATGTAGGGATAAATACTCTGAATAATGTGATTTACTTCAAACAATTAAAGTTTGTAACTATGTGATTGGCTTAGAACTATATAATTTGAATTAGAGATGTGTGCAAGTATTATACATATACGGGTTTGGACTCTTTGACCCCACTTTCTTTCTAATAATGTAATGGTTAGGCACTTGATCCCATGCCTTGTTAGATCAACCAATTAAGCAACACTTACAGGAAATTAAACAAATTAAAAAAAAACCAGAAAAATGCTGTTGGGCACGTGTCTCTTACCGAAGAGCGGGTACATTAATATACCGATGGTAGCTTTCCTGGATAAATCTGTATCCCCCCCTCGGATAAAATAACCCACTTGCCAAACTTGCCGCTTCTCTCTCTCTCTCTCTCTGTCTCTCTCTGTCTCTAAAGGCTACAGCTTTCACTGTCCCGTGGTTAAAAAGCACAGTGGGCGCAATGCGCACTACTCTCTCTCCCAGTCCAGCGAAAAGGATCACACTCTGCTTCTCTATGCCCCCACACTTCCTCCCTTTCTCTCTCTAACTTTCATCATCATCCATTAATGCCTCTCTCTCTCTCTCTCTCTCTTTCTAAAGACCAAATCTTTCTCTCTCTAAATAACTTGTTAAATAACCCATCAGCTCACTAAATCCCTCATTCACTCCCACAAGCTCTTCAGAAGCTCGTACACACGCTTAACACACTTTCCCTCTCTCTCTCTCTCTCTCTCTCTCTTTATTGGTAGCTCAAGTTTCGGATTCGGATTCGAGTTCAGGTCGAATGAATTCGGGCTTTTGAGAAAATGGATCCTCCACTGATCAACGAGTCTTCCTTCTCAGCAGCTAACCCATCAGCGTACAGCCTGGCAGAGATTTGGCCCTTCAGCGGTGAACCCGGTGGAAGTGGTGGCGGGTTGGGTCTCCGAATGGGTAGTTTGGGTGGGCTTGGAGACAGCTCCGTGAACATAGATGGGTCGTTGGAGGAATCGACCGTGACTGAGCAAAGCGGTGGCGGTGGTGGAAGAAAGAGAAGGGATGTGAGCCCTGAGGACGAGTCTTCTAAGCTGGTTTCCACTAGTAGTGCCAGTGGCTTGGTTCGTATTTCACTCTTTTAAGTGAAATTTGATTGCTTGGCTCAATTTTGAGTTTGGTTTATGAGAAAATGGAGCAAATTAGTACTAAAGCAATGAATTTTGATGTGTGAGTCTGTTTTCTTTAGCTGAATTGAGGCAAATGGATGAAAGTAATAAGAAATGGAATGAAAATTAAGGGCGGGTCTTTATATTTTAACTTAATTTAGTGAATATTTTGTTAGCAAGGGAAATAGTGAATTTGTGTAATTGTGATTGTGCTATGTAAGCTATCTATAAAGGAATTAATATTGGTTGTTCTTGTATAGCCTTTGTTTCCCCTGTAATTTAGAAGTGATATTGTGAATATTAATACATCCAAACATGGTGTGATATGTTATCTTTAGCGAGTTAAGCTGTATTAGACTAGATATGGATTGAGGCTCTAATTGGTGTTTGAGTCTTTATGTTGTTTACTTGAATCTTAAATTTCTCTTTTGATGTTTAATTTTTAACTTTTTCTGCTTGTTTCAAACAGAAAGATTCCAGTGGAAAACGGATGAAACTAGCAGGATCTCAAAATGAAAATGGTGGTTCGAAAGCTGAAGTTGAAGAAAGTTCAGCAGCTGGTGACAACAAGCCAGCTGAACAAAGCACTAAACCTTCTGAGCCACCTAAGCAAGATTTTATCCATGTGAGGGCACGAAGGGGACAAGCTACTGACAGCCACAGTCTAGCAGAGAGGGTAATGCACTTTTGGCCCTTTTTGAATTTGCAATATTAGCATCTAGAACATCAAACAACTTTTTCATGCTCTTTATGGAGTTCTCTAGATCTTGATATGGAATATGTTTTATATAATGAACCTATTCCGTTTTGTCTTTGACATGTTTGGTAAATCAGTTTTGATCCATTCACTATTGAAACATGCCACATACCATGCTCATTTTGGCAGGCTAGGAGAGAAAAGATCAGCGAGAGGATGAAACTTCTCCAAGATTTGGTTCCTGGATGCAATAAGGTAGTGTATGTTGTTTGGTTGGTTTTATGTCATTCATATTACTTAGCATGTGTAGGTAGTATGTTCTACATAGTTTAGCATAGGGAATCTTTGTTATGTAATTTGTTGTTTCCGATTTCTTTACTAGATTAATTGTGAACATGTCCTGGTAATTATCTAGTATGTTTCCCTTACATATGTTGAACTTTTCTTCTGAAAAGGTTATTGGGAAAGCACTCGTCCTTGATGAAATAATTAATTACATTCAATCACTTCAGCACCAGGTTGAGGTATATATTCCATCTGACTCTAATCTAGTGCACTTGGTGACATGGTTTTCCTTTAAACTGTTAAACCTGAATCTGTACTTTGTTAATTGGATTCTGTAGTTCCTTTCAATGAAGCTTGAAGCAGTCAATTCAAGGATGAACATGAATCCCACCATTGAAGCCTTTCCTTCGAAAGATGTAAGTCTGGTGTACTTTAATTACCTTCATAAAAGCTATTGACACTCTGTTTGGAACTATTTTTCGATATTTTTTCAAAGACCCTGCTGCTTTTTTAGATTGTAAACCCTTTGTCTGGGGATTCTTTTTTGTACAACTCTTCAATCTCAGAGATACATCAAGTAATGTAAATGTCTGTCAACCAAGTAGTCTTGGTAAATAATATCTAACTTGACTGGCAGTAAAATTTAGTCCAAGAGTGCACTTTCATTCAATTCCTAGGACTGTTCTTGTTGTAAACTTGGCTGTTGGGCATCACAGTTATGCTACTGATTCCTCAAGATTGGTATTTGGGCATTTCTATGCCATTTTGAAGGGAATAAGCAGACAACAAGGCACCTTCTAAGCTAATTGTTTTCTATAATCTAACCCTTACTATAAGCATGATGAAGATTCCAGGGAATCTCTTCTAAACTCCATGATGACATTAATATATCATATCATCCATTTAAGCATAACAGCATGATAATAACAACATTTTCTTTGTTTTTGATGTCCCTTGGAGTGTAAAGTGCTTGGTTGCATTCCTTTTCTATCATCATCATCGTCACCATCACCATGGCTTTTATCCTTGTCTATATTCTCATCCGTTCAACTCTTATTTCGTGTATGTGTTTGACATGCTGAACAATGTATGTTTACATTGTATATCTTTTCTCTTAAAGATAGTGTGACTACCTCATTAGTTTTTGTGGAGGATGTTTCTGTCGCGGTTAGTGTACTAATGTAGGTGCTGCAGTAAGATTGTGAACTCATTGGTTTTACTGTCCCACGAAGAGAAATATTTTTGGATGCAGCAATAATTTATACTGTTTCATAGGTTCACTAGGTTATTTCCGTTAAATTGAGATTCTTTAAACACATGGAAAGACAATTCTGTTTAGGTATATGCTATATGATCTTACCAGTTGACCTGGTGTTTCAGCTTGGTGCACAGCCATTTGATGGTGCAGGATTGCTATTTGGCTCGCACACACCAAGGGAGTATGCCCAAGGCTCACATCCCGAGTGGCTACATATGCAGGTCGGCAGTAGTTTCGAAAGAGCAACGTAAATTCAGGGGATAATTCTTCAAGTCATAATTGGTGGGCTTGTGGCTAGGTTCTACATCTGGTGTAGAAATGTGTTCGCTAAATGTATGATCATTCTTATTGTTGTAATAGGATATTAGTTGTAGGAATGCATCTAATCTTCGCATGTATCATCTGACTAGATATACTCTACTTTGTTGTACTAGTAGTGGTACCCAGAAAATATCTTAGAGTGGCTTAGTTAAAATGTGTAACAGAATGATTGCAATTGTGCTTGCCAGAATTTATATATAGAATATCTGATTATTTTTACATAATATTACTCCGTGTCACGAATATGTACGGACTGGTTATGAAATAATTGAATTAATTTACTTTTCACTCTCTATCATGTTAATTATAATTTTATATCTTGAAAATAAAGTGAAAGTATTAGTCTTTACTGAAAGTACAATATGAACAAGTGAAACTATTACTGTATGATCCGTTGATGGCCAACAGACCTGGAAACAGACTGATATAACAACAAAGAAAACAGGGGGAAGAGAGACAAAACCAAACGTATAATACACAGGATTTTAAAAGCCAAACTTGGATCTGATGGTGTTGATGACATCTTTATCTACTCGAAGGGCCTTAGTTAAAACTTGGTCGGGAATCGAAGGCGTCGAAGCAAACAGAGTTAAAGGAAGCACAACAGCCCCAGGCAATTGACTGTTGAAAGCTGTGAAGGCCAGAGCCTTCCCTTCTCCAACATTCAGCTGAAAGTGAACAAGTCCCTTTGGAATCACAAACATCTGCCCAGCACTCAAAACCTTGGAGTAAAACACATTATTGGTTGTCACAAACCCTACAAGGAGCTTCCCTTCAATGACTACACCGGACTCACTTGCACGAGGGTGCGAGTGGGGCGGATTAATCCCGCCCGGCGCAAAGTCAATTCTGTTCATTGATATCCCAAGAGTGTTGAGGCCAGGAAATGCAAGGACATTCCCAGCTGTTAAGTTCGCTCCAAGGGGATTGCTCGTGTTCCCTTCTTTGCTCAGTCCATCAAAGAAGAAGTCATCAGAAGTAGTTTTCGAGACGGGTTTGCAGGGAAAGCCATTAACTGATGTGGAAGCACTCAAATCTGCCACACAGAAGTCTTGTAACGGATCAGGGTCTGCACCATGGGAGGGCAAGGGAAGAAGAAGCATTGAAACCATGAGGCAGAATAGGAAGCTGAAGACTAAGCTGGATGAGGTGATCATGTTCATGGCTACAAAAATAGACTTTTGTTTCCAAAACCAAGTTGATAATGGGTTTGAAGTCAATAGATTGTGGTTCTACTTATCTCTTGCCATACCACATAACAAAATTGCTTTTGCTGTTATTGGATTTGGACAACCATGACCAGCCGAAGGTTAAAAATTGAAGTCTTCGTATGGGACAAAGAATTTAATTGCACATTGATTGGTGGAGGTTAGTTAGCATTGATTGGTGGAGGTTAGTTAGTTGGCTTTGACAAAGTTTACCCTTAAACGACTTAAAAACAAAAGCTTAGATTTGAAGCAATCATGTTAGTTTCCAAACAGTTTACATGGACATCAACTTTTTATTTTAAATCATTTTTTTCTTGTTGTACCAGCAACATCAAACTTGAAGCTCATTGCTTAGGGTATGATTCCCAGTACAATTATGAATTAACTTTGTGACTTTTTGTGCATTGTAGTGGTTGCAACTCGCGACACTCGCTAAAACTTTGACACAGTTTTTTTCTTCTTCTGTTTTTCTTTGTTTGGGTGAGCATTGATATAGCTGAAATTGGGAGGTGCTTAGTCGTCAGCGTGTTTACATAAGCATGAGAGCCGCATGCGGTGTAGCGAAAAATAATTTAATCATCTGAAAATTCAAAAGGTACCTTGACTAATGATTAAAATAGTAGCTTAAAACGGCTTTAATATAAAAACACACTAGGAAACAACATCTTCATCCTCCTAATAGTAATAAGCACCACAGCAGCAGATCAGAAGAACTTCACACATTAATTTGCCAACAAGAAATCCTGTATCTGTGTCCTAATAAGCTCGAAACTTTTTGCGCCGGAGTGACGGTAACACGGTGTGGCATGTGGCATGGTTATGGTGTGTTAAGAGTACACCCAACCAGAACACGTAGATTAATAAACCTCTTTGAACCTTTCAGCGTGCTGGAAAAGTAAATGATGCCATGATAAAATTGGGAGGTGTTTAGTCGTCGGAGTAGTTTAAATTGATCTTTCAAAGAATAATGGATCATAAAAGAACCATAGACCTTTTGATCATGGTCTAAATTATTTTGAAGAGAAAATGCGCACGCTGCTCTAATTTGAAAAGTCTCTAATTGAAATAGTCTCAGATTTTCAATAATAAAGCCCAACATGATAAAGAAATCTTCTCCAAAGGTCCTATCGAAAATCCGTATAAAAGTCGTTTTAGAAAATGATGCAGGAAAAAGATAAAGGGGGGAAAGTGAGAAGCTTTACTGTAATGGAAGTACAACATGAAGAAGTGAAACTCTCCTGTATGATTCAAAATGAAGACCAATGGGCCTAGAAACGGAAACAATAGGGGGAGAAGAGATACAAACCCCAGTTCGTTGTTTAATAGCGCATTTTTCACACAAAACCAAGCCAATTTCCTATAATAAAAAGCCAAACTCGGATCTAATGCTGTTCAATAACATCTACATCTACTTAAAAGCCGCAGTTAATGCTCGGTCGGGATTGAAGGTGTGAAGAAAGGAAAGTACAAGAGACCCAGGCCAGTGACCGTTTGAATTCAGCCGAAAGCGAACAAGTCCCCGTGGAACCACAATCATCTGCCAAGCACTCAAAACCTTGGAGTTACACACATTGTTAGTTGTCACAAACCCCACCCGTAGCTCCCTTTCAATAACCAACCCAGACTCACTTGCACCGAGGGTGTGAGTGAGTGGGTTCGATTTGGATTTGCTCCGCATGGAGCAAAGTCAACTCTGTTCATTGATATCCCAAATGTGTTGAGCCAGGAAATGCGACGACATTACTGGCTGTTACGGTCACCCCGAAAGAGATTAGTGCTCCCCTTTATGCTTGGACTGTCAATTAACTTTTGTACCTCTATCTTTACACAACATATGCCACTCTTGGAGCACTGACGTTTGAAGAGCACGGTGTTCAGCCTCCTCTGCAGTCAACTTTGACAGGGTTGTAGGTCCCTTTGGTTTGCCATCTTCCTCACCATCTTTTTTCTTTTCCTTCTTTTTCTTTATTTTATCCTCATCTTCTTCATCACTTTCTTCTTCATCTTCATCATCATCATCATCATCAGATTTGGGAATCTTACGTTTAGGCTGGGCTGCCTTTAGCAAAGCTATCCTTTCCATTGAGATTCTAAGCCTCTCAACAGCAGCCACTTTCACTTCGTCTTCAGGCATGTACTCAACACCCCCATCAGTGAGGTCATCTAACCAGCCCTGGAGATCCGATCCAATCTCCTTTGTAATTGATGCATCAGAAGCTCGAACAACAAATTTGCATATCATGGTTGTAGTCTCATCACCCAGGTCAACATTCCGGCTCACTTCACTAGCTCCAAAGATCATTAGGCCCAAGAAGCCACCGTACCAAGTTTTTGCAGCAAAACAAAGCTGTTCCAGAACAAAGAAATCAACATGAAATTTGAATGGTTTAGGGTTGCAAAGCAAATAGTAACAAAGAAAAAGAACTTCCATAATAGGAACACGATCAGTAAAGTTTCACAAAAGTAGAAACATGCAACAAATAACAAAAGAGAGATGGAAATCAAATGGTAACAAAGAAAAAGAGATAATACCTGAAATCCTGCCACTGTCCGGATAACATGTGAACAAACTCTGTGGAATGGTTTGGATGACAATGATTTCAGCCCACTCAGGAAAGGAGATGCCCCATACTGCTGTGCAGCAGTAGCCTTGAAGCCACTTCCTTCGTAAGTATATGTACCAGTGTACTCTACTATGGCTGGTAAACTGGGCCACAGACGGAAAAATTCAACCGGTGAGATCTTATGTGGCATAAGAAGTTCAGTCAGAGGAATTTTGTATGGCTGACACCTTAAAATTACAGGTTCTCCCAGTTCTGGCCTTAAACTTCTCTTTTGTCTCATGATTTGAGGATCTTCTTCGGTGTAGTCTCCTTCATAATCTATAGCAGCACTTCCATAAAAGGGGTAGTATAAGACTTGAACCCAAAGAGAGCACCTTTCGAAATGGGAGACACCCACAGTTACACTGCAAAGTACCGGATCCTAGGAACAAGATAAACAAACAAAATCAAGATGCATTGCAATAGAAAACAAGATGCATTGCAATAGAAGACAGGGCAAAGAGGACGAAGAATGAATTCATTATAGAGGCAGAAAGTAAACCTGTGAAACAAGGTTACGCAACTGCCGTACTGCTTGAGGAGATCCATCCATAAAGTATAATGCACCAGATAACCCAACTCGAATATCAACCCGGTTGAGCTCAAGCTCAGTTAAATTTAAGACCTGCACATTCATCAACAAGGAATAAGAACTATCAAACAGAAACAGGAAACTGGAGTCTGCCCAGAACATAAAGGGCTTTTAAAAGCATTAAAAAAAAAAGATAAGAAGCAAAACTTAACCTTCAAATGCAGAGATATCCTTCCATCACTAGCATCTGCCAGATGATATGCTTCAATGTAGCAGGGATCACTGCTACCAGTCGAAGTAATTGCACTAGGAGGAACTTTGAGTAAAGTAGAGTCAACTCCCTTAGTCAGCAGAAGGGTTAGTTCACTAGGATCCGGCCTCCAAAGTTCTAGAATAGCCTTATGAACCAATCCTTCTAACTTTCTATCCTGAGCTGCAGCTACTTCGTAGAACTGGACAGTTAGTTTATGGTGGCTAAATGGGTAATCACCTCTGGCTTCACTGACTCCTGCCCACCTGAAAAATAATTGTAACTCCCTCATCGTTTTACATTTGTGCGTAGATATGCATAATTTCCCCCCACTAATAACAGGTATTAATAAAGCGAAAATTACAAAACATAAAAGCACAATCTAGTGCAGTTATATAGGACATACGCATATGTGATGTATATACGTGCTTATATATATGCACAAACACATGTATGCATTAGACAATGGTCCAGTAATTTCATATTGAAGATTAAGAGGATGTGCCTCCACTTTCATCAAAGTCATTCTCTCCTTCCTGATAAATTCAGTTTGACCTAGGCCAAAATCAATGTCTACAGAGATTTCTTTCCAATATCTGGATCCAGCAATCAAACCACACTATCGGTGAAGGTGAAACCCAAGCACCAGCCTTAGCCAGTGTTTTATATTTTTTCTTTTTTGGGAACAGTGGAGAGAGAAGGGCCCAATAGAAGAGATGTAAGACTAACTATCAAAATAATGCAGATTATCACTGAAAATGGTTTTCGACCCCAGGGGGAACAAAGAAACACCTCTTAAAGGCGGACAACATGGATGTAGACTACTATAATCATATATTGGGCATAAAAAGAAACTTCATTAACAGTTTGGTACACACCACCCAAACTCTATGGCAGACAGCTCACCCTTATAGATTAACGAAAATATATAATATGCTCACCTGCTTTCTGGATGACTTGAAACATACTTGATTTTCTGCAATATCAAACGGCACTGATGCTTGTTAACAGAATCCGCCATAGTACCGTTCCTGAACTCTTCAAGTTCTTTAGTCAGTAACTGCCCAGCCCTAAGGTTGCGTGATCCCAACCGCTGAGCACATAAAAGAACAGCTTGAACATCTAGAAGCCTGTTTGTTGAATCAGCAGATGAATCTACATTGAACAAAACCTTGTGGATATTTGATACAATAATGTTCAGTGGATCCTCAGGATCATCAGCAAGAAGTGGGTCCAGACCTTCTAAATCTATGTGCTCAGAAATAGCCCAAATAAGGCGAGCACATATTCTTGGGGTATTCACCTGTATAATATGCTTCAGTAAGTGTGCTTCCCTACAATACATATGCATTGCTAGTATGCTAAATTACATTAATCAAAGAAGAGAGGTACATACCTCACGTAGATCTTTCACAAGTTCACGTTGCAAATTTTGTAGCCTTGTCTCATTTAAAATTTGGTCCTGTGAAGCCCCGTCTTTAACTCTTTTTACACCTCCCCTAGTATCATAGATATGGCAAAGCCTCACAAGCAACTTCAAATAGCAATCAATTGCGTAGGTCCGGCCATCACAACCCCATTTGACACAAGGCCTGCAAACCTCCACCACTTCCAAAGCAGGCTCTGTCCAGTTTAGTGCACCATAACCAGTTCCATATGCCAAGGCTCCAATAACCCTGCTCTCCATCCCTGAGTTCTTTTGTTCAGGCAAAGGCAGAGACAGCTGAAAGCAACTTTCAACTAATGACGCCACTAACTCCTCCCTAAATAAGGTCTTGCTTGTCACACTATTAAGATCATCCTTTATTCTCGCATCCTCAAAAAGTGAAGCTATATCAGTGCCAGCAAGAGGTTTCTGGCCTCTACGGACACTCTCCTTTGCGAAGAGATCGACACAAAGCGCTGTTCGACAAATGCATGCTAAAGCATGCATACGATCTGATTCTGCCCTCAAGTTTCTCACCATAAGAAGCAGCCTCTTAAACAACGAAACCTACACCCAAATTTTTCTTCTTCTTAAAAATACAACTCATGTGAATTTAATTTAATTTATCATCCGTATTGACAAAGATAAAAGATTGATTTGCTATATACCTGCATATGAAGATCGAGAAGGTGAAGATTGGTAACCACAGCTCTAACAATACTCTCTCTTGCAGAAGCAAACTCTTGCCTATCCCAAAGTGTGAGAATTGCGATAATTGACTGTGAAGCCCACTCCGGCTTCCCACCAGGCACATCAGCCAAATACAACAAGTCAATCCCCACTTCGAAAATCAAAGCTGGATCCAATGACGACGCCAAGAATGGCACCAAATGCGTGACCACATCTGAAACTCCCACCAACCTCTCTGCATTGCTATCCGCAACAGTCCCATTGGAGCCCTTAGACGACTTCGACAGCTTCCTTATGACCTCGACCGAGCCTGAAGCCATGGCCTTGACCGCGTACACGATCGGAAACACAGTGGCCCTGAAACTCTCCACGGGCAAAACCAACGATCTCGCCATTAACGCACTCCGCTTCTTCCACACGAAGTCCACCATCGAGGAGACCCAATTGGATCGAATCGCGAGCGAATTCTCACTATCGACTAACTTATCACCCGCTAATCTGCTCATGCGCTTGGAATCGAACTCCTGAAACAAACGCCCCACCGACTCGAATGCCACCTTCGATACGGCGTCGGATGCGTCGAGCATGTTACCTCCGATGCGGGACCACCAGCTGGAGACCTTATCGAGCAAATTGACATTGTTCTCACAGAGCGTGACGAGGTCGTCGCGAGCAAGAATGCATCCGAGGGTTTCGGTGATGGAGAAGCGGAGATTATCGCTCGGAGAGTCGAAGCAGCTGTTGATTTCTTTCTGGGCGTCGGTGATGAGCTTGGAGAGGCGGTAGGAGGGGATGGCGGCGAGGATTGAGACGGCTGCGGCGCTGACGTCAGGGTCGGGGAAGTCCAGATCGGTAAGAATTCCGACGCAGACGGTGTCCCAGAGGTCGGCGGTGAGGCGGGTGGAGCGAATGAGATCAAAGGCGAGCTTTTTGCAGACGGCCGAGGCCGGCGAGGCGACGATCTCTTCGACGGCAGACTTGGCAATGACGGAGATGTCACGGCCGGCGGCGGATTGCTGGAGGGCTTGGAGGAGAGCGCCGGACTGGCGGAGAGCGTCGTTGGAGCGGAGGTCCGCTTGGATCTGAGCAAAGAGTATGTCCATTTTGAGAAGCTGAGATCAACTTCGTTCGATGAGCTGAACTGTTTTAGGGTTCGTTAGGATTTGAGAATTTGGGACATTGAGAGAGAGGAATTGAGAGTTTGGGCAGATTGCAGTAGAAATGCAGAGTATGATTGTTTAGCTTTAGCTTTTGCTTGTAGTGGTTTTAGTTTGAAGAAAATGATGGTGGTAAAAATCATCAGGCTTCTTGGCGGTTCATTTGGTTGGCACGGCCGGGTTGGCAACAACCGAGTTCATTGTCTGGCTGAGTTCATTTGAAAATTGACCTTTGAAGGAAGATGTTGATTGTTGGAAGCCCAACCCAAACAGCTCGTGATTTGGGCCTTAAGTTGGAAGTGAAGGCCCATTAACTTTTCTTCAATGTTTCCTCTAGGCCCTTCTTATTGGATCTTACTTGGATCCGGGATATGGACCTAGGTCGGGAATCACGAACCCGAGATCCAAGATCCATGATTCGAAGTTAGGACTCTAGACCTAAAATTCGGATGTGGGATGCCAAATGTTGCATCCGAATAGAAGAATCACTATGGTGGTGCTGACAATGGAAGAAATTGTGATGGGAATTCTCATAAAAACTATAGTTAGTAGAAATTGCCAGTACTCCATAAAGTCCCTTCTTGCAATTGTATGTCTAATAAGCTGCAATACATTATGAAACAGATGCAAAAGGGTACATAGCCCCAACTTTCTCCTTTCAAACTTCTTCTCCCAATAAAATACCACATACAAATTACAATACAAACAAACCTTCAAACATGGTATTTCAAAAGACAAACTTGGATTTAATGTTGTTGATGGCATCTTCATCTACTAGAAAGGTCTTGGTCAGCACTTCGACTGGGATCGAAGGGGCCGCAGCAAACAGATTCAGAGGAAGAACAGTGGAGCCAGGCAAGTGGCTGTTGAAAGCTGTGAACGTAAGAGCCTTTTTCTGTCCAACATTCAGCTGAAAGTGAACAAGTCCTCTTGGAATCACAAACACTTGCCCGGCAGTCAAGACTTTAGAGCAGTACACATTTTTAGTCGTCACAATCCCTGCAAGGATGTTCCCTTCAATGACAATCCCAATCTCGCTAGCACGAGGGTGCGAGTGAGGGGGGTTAATCCCGCCCGGCTCAATGTCAACTCTGTTCATGGCTATCCCCAGAGTGTTGAGCCCCGGGAACGAAAGGACGTTCCCAGTTGTAACCGTGACCCCAAAGGCGTCCGTGAAGTTAGCTTGCTTGCGCAGCCCGTTAAAGACAAAGTCATCTGAAGTAACCTCCGAGAGGGGCTTGCAGGGGAAGTTGTTAGCTGATATGGAGGCACTCAAGTCTGCCACACACAAGTCTTGCAATGGATCAGGGTCTGCACAATGGGAGGGCAAGGGAAGAAGAAGCAGCAGCAATGAAACTGTGAGGCAGAACAATAGCAAGCTTGGAGATAAGGTGATCATAGCTTCAAAATACTACTTTCTTGTAGTTCAAGGTATAGATACACTCTGGTTCTACATATGTGTATATATATATAATAAATGTATTTTAAAAACTAATTTTTTTTCTACATTATTGGATTTCAGGCCACCATAGAATTCAACAAAAGGAACATCATCATCCATAGTACAGATTAGATAGATTTATATTGGAAAAAACTCGTAATCATTGGATATTGGATGACGCTAGTTGGCCAAAAACCAAAGTTAACGTCGTCAAAAATCTTGTTTATGTGGGAACATCTCTCAAGATTATTTGGGATCTAGGCCGGCTTTGATTTGAAGTTGAACCATTTGGAGCATAAAGCAACTTACTGAAAAAAAAAAATGGGGCCATATGTCAAGTGGAAAAAAATAAAATAAAATATGGTCTTAACTTAACAAAAACAAAACACTAAACAACATTCAAGTAGAGCATTTAAAAGCATAACTCTTTTTCTCTCCAAAAAAAAAAAAGCATAACTCTTTAAGTTTTCTTTTAAAAATTGGGGTTTTTATAATTATTTTAAATTTGTGGGCTAGAGCATTTTATTTGGATATAGTAAACATCACATTAATTTTTCTTTTTCTTTCTTTTGGTAAGTATTTGCATGGCTAATTGAGATTCTGGTCGTCCAAATAGTAATCTTAATAGGTTACTATCCAAATGAAATTATAATAATTACGATGCTAGTCATACCACATTTGCATACCACCTATTAGAGAGGTGGAGCCTACCAATACAATGAGGCATGCCTCTATTAGAGAGGTGGTACACACAGTGGTATATAAATGTTGTATGGCTAGCATTTTTGCTCATAAAAATTTATAGTTCGATCGAAAGGCATAATTCTTTGTTAATAATCCATTTGAGTCCCCTGTTGCAGTTGTATGGATGTCTAACAAGCTGCCATACAATACATAACATTATGAAACAGATGCAAAAGGAACGTTGCCAAAGAGAAATAGCAATAAAGAGTATGCACATACGATACAAGGACGTACGGCCCCAGCTTTATTTTTCAAACTTCGTCTACCCAGACAACATTAACATTACTACATACATACAATCCAAACCTTCAAACAAAGCAAAACAAATCGAGAATTCCACTCATTATTTTAAAAGACGAACTTGGATTTCATGGCGTTGATGGCATCTTCATCCACTAGATAGGTCTTGGTCAGCACTTCCATTGGGATTGAAGGGGCCGCAGCAAATAGACTTAGAGGAAGAACAGTGGAGCCAGGCAAGTGGCTGTTGAAAGCTGTGAAGAAAAAGGCCTTTGTTTGCCCAAGATTTAGCTCAAAGTGAACAAGTCCCCTTGGAACCGCAAACACTTGCCCCGCAGTCACGACCTTACCGTAGTAAACATTCTTAGTTGTTACAATCCCTGAAAGGATCTTCCCTTCAATGACAATCCCAATCTCACTCGCACGAGGGTGCGAGTGAGGCGGGTTAATCCCACCCGGCCCAAAGTCAACTCTGTTCATGGATAACCCGAGAGTGTTGAGCCCCGGGAACGAAAGGACATTCCCGGTTGTCACGGCCACCCCAAAGAGGTTCGTGACGTTACCTTGCTTGCTCAGCCCGTCGAAGACAAAGTCATCTGCAGTAACCTCCGAGGGGAGTTTGCAGGGGAAGTTGCTAGATGATGCGGAGGCAGTCAAGTTTGCCACACACAAGTCTAGTAAAGGATCAGGGTCTGCACAATGGGAGGGCAAGGGAAGAAGAAGAAGAAGCAATGAAACTGTGAGGCAGAACAATATCAAGCTTGATGATGATGAGGGGACCATAGCTTCAGAACACACTACTTTCTTGTAGTTCAAGCCAAGGTATAGATAGACTCTGGTTCTACTACATACGTATATATATATACACACACACATATTAAAACTCACTTTTTTATTTCTTCATTATTGGATTTCAGGCCACCATTTAGAAACTTACTTTTTTATTTCTTCATTATTGGATTTCAGGCCACCATTTAGAAACTAAGTATGCACAAGCGACCAACATTAGCATCATCCATGGTGCACAACTGATAGATTTATATTGGAAAAAAACACTCCTAATTGGATATTGGGTGAGGCTGGTTGGCAAAACATCAAAGTTAACATCGTCAACAATCTTGTTAGTTTTCCTAACAGTTGAGGCTAGTTGGCTATATGTTTATATGCTACCTCATTATTAAAGATATCCGTCTGATTAACAGGTACAATTATGAAGATTTAGAAAATGAAAGAACAGTAAATATATATCCACGAAAACCATTATTTGACTAAAATATTTTAAAAAATGATAATAATCAGTTTGTTTATATGCTAACTCATTATTAAATATATATCTATATCCTTATGATTCACCTGGTGGTCCAATTATGAAGATTATTTTGGTTATGTTATAAAGTATGTGGGGTTCATAACTTTACAATCAGTATGTAGGTATTTTATAGTGAAGCAGTTCTGCATGACTGCATGAGTTGAAAGCAACTTCCTTACAATCAGTATGTAAAAACCAGATAGAGGTCAGGTACCCTTAATTTGAGAGTTCAAATGGGACCTCTTCGACAGATGCATAAACTCATGGAATTAAAATAGTTCAGCAGAAAAGCAGAAGAAGAATACAGGAAAAGAACATCCTCATTCTAAAAACAATAACTTTGATGTACCAGAGGACCAGAACTTCGCGGATTCATTTGATGACGCTGGCCGAGCCCTGTATCTCAGGCAGACCAAGATTATTTCCTTTAACAGATCAAGGGGAAGCCAGAGTCCAACTCCAAGAGGATCTGATCTAAGACGAAAGCTTCTAGTTTTGTTATCAAGGCCTCATCCTGTATATGTTGTATGAATTTGATAACCAAAAAAAAAAAAATTAACACATATCTGAATTTGCACCCAGAAAAGTGAAGAAAAATAAACTCATAGTGAAAGATTTACTCAGTCATACCTGTCTAAAGCTGCTGGGCTGATGGGAATAACACCTGCCGGGGACACAAGCGCATCCACCAGAATGTCATGTGGAGTGACCGGTACACCTTCATCCAATATTTGTACAGAATAGGACAGTGAAACTGCAATAAAGCCACCAACCTTGACTAAAATACCAACACTACCACCATATTACCTAGAACACTGAATACACTGACTTTCAGATCCGAGGCATATATGCTACAATACAAGGCGAAACAAAAAATGATGCATACCAAGCAGTGGTTGCTTCCAATTGCGTGTTTTTGCAAGCTCTTGGTAGTTCTTCAGGAAGGTATCATAATAACTGTAGAAGTTACAACACGTTAACATCAATTATGCATAAGATACTTAAGTTTGTTTTCTTCAAAACATGTAAGGGAGAAAAAACCACGGCTCTAGCAGCCTTTATTTGAGGAGAGCAGTGATATCTCCAAACAACTAAATACATGGTACTTGAAAAACTGAATAAAAACTCTATAACCATACCCTCCACCACGACCCAAGCGTCTCCCAGATCTGTCAAATGCTAGTCCTGCCAGCATAAAAGGATAAGCAAATGCAGTTAACTACAGTTTGACTTTGATAATTATAACACATCCTGTAAATGGATGCGTATTAAGAAAATAGGAAGAAAAGTTCTACCCGGTAAGAGGAACAAATCAACTGGGTCGCTTGCCTGTAAAACTGCACCAAGAGAGACCCTTTAGATATGAGATTCAATATAATTACATCAATAAACTCACATATATACAATATGAAACCCATCCCACATTCTTTTTGTGAGCATTAAAACACAAGTGCCAAGGTGTCTATGAAGCCCACCCCTACATGAACATATGGACATCAAACAAATATGATTCCAGGAATAAGGCTTATGTATATCAAGCCAAACAGCCTAGACAAGGTCTCGGTGAAGGGAGTACAAGAATTGTGCCATGAGTTTCAGAAAAACAAGGGCTACTCATGTTTCCTCTCCCTATCTTGTTACTTATAAATTACTCAGTTACAATTTCTGGCAACATTCTGATGCCCAAACCTGAGAATTATAATATTACAAATCGGTATTTTAAAGGAAAACTAGGCTTAAGAAACCCTGTTGAAAGCTGTACGAATGAGAAATTTTCCCATCCTAACCTGGTCTTACACAATTTCTTAGTCTTTAGATTTGCCACCCATAAAGAAAAATGGAAGACACTACTTTGAGGCTTCAGCAGAAGCACTCTCAAAAGAGCAAAAGTTCGGAAATTTGACTACAAATCTTAGAATATGTTAATCCCATCTCAGCTTTTGTAACCTCTAGTATTATGAAGTTCAAATTTTAATGCAAATACTCAAAATTTTCAACTTTGAGACTAGTTTTGTGACATCAAGAATCTGTAAATAATAGAGAATGACTACGATCAAAGACATTATTATCCTCTAAAATAAGTGAAACATTACCATCTTCCCGTTCATTTCCATCAGCATCGATTGGACCTGGTTCTAAAATGTTCATCGAATTCGCAACAAGATCATCCATACATGAGATGTTGAGCATTCTCATGTGACAATTCTTGTCCTCCACACGCGGAACATAAAGCTTTTTCCTCACCTGCACATCACCCTCTTCATAAAACACAAAAAACATAAGAACCAAGAACAAATTTCTCAAAAATTATGATTTCAGGCTACTATAGCATGCTAAAAAAACTAAAATTTGGAGATGGGCACATAAAAATCACACCTTTGAGTGGACTTTGAAGAATTGCAGACAACAAGTTGGAGGTATCAACTTCCCTCAAAGCACTGCAGCATATATATGCACATAATCTTTGACAAGATCTAAACCACGGAGCTTCCAATACAACACTCTGGATTGCATTATCTAATCAAAAACAAAAAAATTGCAGACTTTTAGTTTTTTTTTTAAATTTAATAAAATGGAATTGACGCAGAGCATACTGGTTCAGTAAAGTGAAGAGTGGCTTGTTACCTTCATGGGATCTGAGTGTGGGGTCCATGGCCTTGAGGGCTTTGCGGACTTTGGACCGTAGGATCCGTTTCTGCTTGAATATGCCGTCGAGATTGTCTTGCTGTTGTTCTTGACCGTTGGTGTTCATTGTGATTGTTCGAGTGGAAAGTGATGGTGGTGGTGCGTATGAAGGTGGAGGGCGTAGGATAGCGGCGCGGGAGAGTTTGAGGGAAATTGCGGCTACGGCAGATGGTGGAGTTGCTAATGTGCACGATTGGGTCATCAGCGCCACCACCAACCTACCTGCCATGTGCGCGCGTCCTCTTTGTCAATTACTCTGTTTTATACCAGGGCCCTTGCAAAAGTTGGTTTTTATGTTCAACACACATCATGTTTTTTGAATTTTTTTCCTCCACATGTTGAATTTTCTCTTTTTACAATGAAATGTCTTATGTTATTTTTTCGAAATGCAACCCTGAACCCCAATACCACATCCTTTTTCGTATAGAGTTGTGCTAACGACAGCGGTTACTCATTTTATTTCATTTTATTCCGAAAAAACAAACACAGAAAATTAGAAGAGCTACAAAGTGCGCACTTTTAACATTCCTCGCACTTTTAGAAAGATGTTGAACCAAATACAAAACAAGTCAAACCTTTTACAAACAAAGAAAACAATGTTCCAACAAAACCAAAACTATAACTAATCAATCTTCAAAGCATCTCAAAACCTAAACTTGGATCTAATGTTATCAATAATATCTTCACCCACTAGAAACGTCTTGGTCAACACATGGTCAGGGATCGAAGGCGTGGCAGAAAATAGATTCAAAGGAACCGTAGCAGAACCAGGCAAGTGACTGTTGAAAGCAGTAAACTCAAGGGCTTCACCTTCTCCAACATTGAGCTGAAAGTGAACAAGCCCTCTGGGAATCACAAAAACCTCCCCAGCAGTCAAAACCTTGGAGTAAAAAACATTCTTAGTCGTCACAAAACCAGTGAGGATCTTGCCTTCCATGACGACCCCAACCTCACTGGCTCGAGGGTGTGAGTGAGGTGGGACGATGCCACGTGGCGCAAACCCAACTCTGTTGAGTGATATGCCAAGAGTGTTGAGCCCAGGAAATGTGAGGACATTGCCAGCTGATACAGATACCCCAAAAACTTTGGTTTTGTTTCCTGGTTTGGTCAGGCCGTCGAAGAAAAAGTCATCTGATGTGATCTCTGAGATGGGTTTGCAGGGAAAGTTATAATCGGCTGGTGTGGAGGCACTTAAATCTGCCACGCACAAGTCTTGTAGTGGATCAGGGTCTGCAGAATGGGAGGGGGGCAAGGGAAGAAGAAAGAGTATAGAGATTGTGAGGCAGAGTAATGGGAAACTTGATGAGGTGATCATGGCTGCAAAAGACTATACTTAATTCAGTTTCAAAACCAAGTAGTTTTAAGTAGATCATATATGGTACCTATCTATAAGTTAATTATATTTTTATTTTGAATTATTGGATACGAGACAAGCATTAGAAACCAGACAAGCAAAATCCAACCAGAATTAAACAAAATAAACGTCAGCAACCATGGGGAAAGAATAAAAAATAGGGATTGAAAGTTTTATATTGGAAAATTGAAGACAATTGGATGTTGGTTGTGTTGCTATCTGGCTTATGACAAGGTTGTTGTGAACTTGTGTGATATTGAGATAAAGACCGAAGTTAGAAGAATAGGGTTGATCTTTTTTATTTATTCAATCGAGACGTTAAAAGGGAGGGATATTCGAACACAGGATATGGAGTGATGATAATTATTCTTAACCACTTGAACTGTAAACTATCAAAAGAAAACAAGAAATAGATGAATACCTATACTAATTATTTAAATTTGGAATCAAAACTGTTCTATTTTCTTGACCAATATGGATTTGGTTGTTTTCTGTTTTTACTTTCTTAGTTTTAATAAAAAGAATCAGCAATGTTATCCAAGAAAACAACTATAGGTTTCTCCATTGTCAGCCAAATGTCAATGTGGCATTTTTGACTTATTTGTTAAAATTGGTTTGTTTAGTATTTTTTTATATATTTTACTAGCCTCTCTGCATGCACTTCCGTGCCTGCGAGAGGCTTTTTTAAAAAAAGTTTAAATTTATTTTAGAATTAAAAAAGATGATGGGTAGTTGTGTTCCATAAAAATAGGATCCATTATTTGATTTTTCTTTTATTTTAAATTTTTTTAAATATGAAAAAGTGTGGATTTACCATATTATCCTCATTTAATTAATAATTTCAATTCTTAATGTTTGCATTACCCAAGGGCATTTTCTGGTATTTTGAATGTTTCACCATTCTCTGCCTTTTGCTTTATATATATAGATTTTATTATAACAGTTTGTTTAGTATTTAAAACTAATTAAAATAGTGGTGGTTTACTCTCAAACTAAAAGTTCAACGCTCAGTCTCCCAATGACCCATTTGGTATTTTTAATCAGATATCATGAGAGAGAGAGAGGTAACTAAGTTTACTAATCCATTCGAGTATGGGAAGTAAACAAGTCCATAGGCAATCCCAATTACCACTTCATTGGATGTGATCAAAACAAGATGGCTAGTAAGTACAAGGATCAACCTTGAGCCTAAGGTATCAGTTCTTTTTGTGGCTTTTTTTTTATTTATTCAATCGAGACGTTAAAAGGGAGGGATATTCGAACACAGGATATGGAGTGATGATAATTATTCTTAACCACTTGAACTGTAAACTATCAAAAGAAAACAAGAAATAGATGAATACCTATACTAATGATTTAAATTTGGAATCAAAACTGTTCTATTTTCTTGACCAATATGGATTTGGTTGTTTTCTGTTTTTACTTTCTTATTTTTAATAAAAAGAATCAGCAATGTTATCCAAGAAAACAACTATAGGTTTCTCCATTGTCAGCCAAATGTCAATGTGGCATTTTTGACTTATTTGTTAAAATTGGTTTGTTTAGTATTTTTTTATATATTTTACTAGCCTCTCTGCATGCACTTCCGTGCCTGCGAGAGGCTTTTTTAAAAAAAGTTTAAATTTATTTTAGAATTAAAAAAGATGATGGGTAGTTGTGTTCCATAAAAATAGGATCCATTATTTGATTTTTCTTTTATTTT